TGCCATACTCTCTGTGGCTGTAAAATGCTATGCCATACTCTCTGTGGCTGTAAAATGCTATGCCATACTCTCTGTGGCTGTAAAATGCTATGCCATACTCTTCATTTAATTGAACATGTCTTTAAGTAACAACTTACTCCCCCTGTCCAGGGAAAAAAGGGGGACCGTGGAAATGATGGTGTTCCTGGTGTGAAGGGAACGAAGGTAGACCTTTCAATCATCCTAATTTGACTTCAGATATTTAATTCTTCTGCTTTTTCATAAGGGGGCAGCACTGAAGCAAATGTTTTAATTCTGTCAGGTTTAAATGAGAGACTACAGGTATCAAGGCGGAATATAAAGTTTGTTCCTCTACTGATTTTGTTTTCTGTACTTGTTAGGGAGAACCTGGAGTTAACGGGGAACCTGGAATCGCTGGAGATGAGGTATGCAGCAGGGGATTTACCTGTACACTCCACGGCTACAATGTATGGGCAATGTAGGCTTCCGTTATTTTGCTATGATTGCCCAACTATCTATGGTGGCTTGGGCTACAACTGCAAATCCATTACATATTACCATAATATATAATATATTTCTGTTTTTTTGTAGGGCAGGCCAGGATATAAAGGGGAAAAGGTGAGATACACCTGTTTATTCCATTTTCATTTAGTTAATTTTAAAACTGGAAATACTAATAGTCAATTTAGATGTGTTAATTTCAAAATATTATATACAACTTTGTAGGTTATTGGTATTTCTGATTGTTGATCATTATATTACATTGGTTTTATTATTAAAACATTTAAGTTTAGACAAAGATGCAACACTGGACTGAATTGTGCATGGGTGCCATTTCACTTAAATTCTCTCAACATTTGTCCCTGCATTGTTACCACACTGATTATTTAGCTATTAATGAGAAAGTACAAGTCCAGCTTGCAGGAAACTGGAGCGTGTGGCGCGTGACCCCATTGATGCTTTGTGTGATCACACACTGTCACTGTGTTGCAGGGCGGGAGAGGGGAATGCGGTGCACCTGGCATCAAGGGGGACCAGGTGGGTGTGGTCAAAGGCCACCGGGCAGAATCCACGTATTCGGTCTCTGCTTCACAGACGCTAGGGATGCTAATGGACGCTAAGAGATGCTGTCAGAGGCTGACGGGCATGTCGTCATTTTCCACAGGGCCTGGAGGGGCCACCGGGGCCACGTGGAGCCCGAGGAGAACAGGTGTGGTATACATGCGAAAGGTATCGACCAATAGCATTAGTGGTGGGGTGGAGCCACTCGGCAGGATATTGCTCTTTCAAAGTCAGCCCCTCAAGCCTTGGCACAGGCTGTGTTTGAACGTGATTGGGCCACAGTTCCAAGGACCCGCCCCCCTTATATGATGCCTATCTGGCTTTTTGACACCAGTGATATCCCAGTGATATCCCAGTGATATCCCAGTGATATCCCAAAGCTATCTTCGAGTTCCCCCAGCAATTCAGTATATGTCTTACATTTCACCTGCAGCACACCTGAATCAGTTAAGGTCACGGACAACAGTTCTGGCTAGTTTAGATCAAGGAGATATTTGGGAAGCTCTGCTCTGGGAGGTTGCAACTGCTTTTACTTTTTTAATAATTCGACTGCGGGGTAGTTTACAATGCTAAGTGTCGCAGGAGAATGTGATTGAAAACTTTGGGCTGACCTCCTGCAAAAGGAGATTATTATGACTCCCTTCACTCCTTTCCTACGGACCAGAACTTTAACTTGCTCTTCCTGAAAGCTGTCTATCTACTAAGACCCACATCTAACTCTTTTCCGTCTTTTGTCACAGGGTCCCATTGGACCACCAGGAGACCTGGGCCCTGAGGGAAGGATTGGCCCCAAAGTAAGGATATTATTCTACATGTTCCCAAATACGCAGGAGGGACGGTTCTTCCCAAGAGCGGTATTAGGCTTACTTAGGCCCTTGTCGAATGCATGGAGTCCCAGAGTCCTCATGCTGTGTTCCAATCAAGGAGAACGTTGGAATTTCCAAGCTGAAAAAACACTTCTTATGAGCCAGAGCTGTAACACAGCCACAACAATAAATATGACTGGCCAGTATAATATACCATTAGTAATTTAATAAATTATTATTGTATCAAATAGTATGTTTCTATAAGTTTACGATTTGCAAACTGAGAACACTACACAACAGCATAAACATGATAACCCTGAAAGACCAAAAATCACACTTTCAGCTCTATTTTCACAGAAGTTTCATGTCCTTAAGCTAGCTATGGACTGCTACAGCTATCCATGTCGCTTAATAGTTAGCATAGCTTGATGTTTGTGATTCGTTTTGATTTTGAATCTACACACATAATAAGTTTTATTTTACTTGTAGTGTTTTTATTGCAATGTAAGACAGGAAAAATCACTCTATATGGCCTTCACGTGATTATTTGTCTTTCACGCAAATTGCTCCTGTGAGGGCTGCCATGTTGTGTGATGTCACAGCAGCCGCTTCTCTGTGAAGCCGGTGTACGTGACATCGGCCTGAGCCTCCCAGTCGGAGCTGCGACTTTGACAGCCGATCCATAGCACTTTTTCACAAGTAGGAGGTCGGACACTTCCAGGGTCCAAGTTGTTTGGACAAATAGCGTGACAGTGATATGTGTGTATCTGGTATGCTGTCATCGAGATGTTATTTAGGAAAATCTGGACTAAAAAGAAAGAAACAATAGTGCCTCTATGTTCCTTTTAAATGCCACATGGCTAATTTATGCCATGCCCAAGTGGGGCCACCAGCTCCAGTTAAGGACACAGACCAAATCCCCATGTGACTGGCATTCAGCGACAGTGTTTATCGCCACTCGCACCATGCATCTGTGTGGGGACCCCAAGGTTTGGGTCCCCCTGTTGGCCACAAACAGTCACTACACCTGATGGTGGGTGACTTTTTGAGAGCAGCCCCAGAGACAAGAACTGCTTTTCTTGGAGACTGGCGAGACAGCATGAAGCTTTTCTGCCCTCCCCCAGGGAGATCGTGGACCCGGCGGGGTATCTGGGCCTCCAGGAGATCCTGGTGTAGGACACCCCGGGACAAAGGTGACTCCTGTTCTCTTTTCTTTGCAAAGGTCCAGTCATGCAGAGATTCACCCTTAGCACCCAGTTTAGCTACCTTGCACTTACATTCCCAAAAGACATATTAACACAATTGCGGGAGTCTTACATATATATAACAAACACATAAAGTTCAGCCATTAAGTTAAACAGATGGACAGAGACAAACACTGATGTGTCGCCATCGTTGGGTGATGTCAGAGGTCACATGTCATGTGACTGGGTAATTCTTCCCCCTTGTTTCTGTTCTCCATGTGTCTTAGGGGGAAAAGGGGAACCTGGGAAGACCCGGTCCCGCTGGTCCCACTGCCATAGGGGAGCCCGGCTTGCCTGTAAGCCCACACTCATCTCAGTCATGTGACCATGTAGAGGATTTACCTGTATATATGTCAAACTGTAATAATTCTTGTATGAAGCCGTGCTTATATTCAGAAGTATCCTGTAAATGTGCAGTATCTTTTCATAAGTAATGCTGGGGTCTCCCGAATTGAACCACTACATATATTCAGTCTCATCACAGACCGAGTGTTTGTGTCTGTGTGTGTCTGTCTTACAGGGTCCGCCTGGTGTCCCGGGGACGCAGGGACCCCAAGGGATGGTTGGAGAAGGTGTACCAGGTCCAAAAGTAGGCTACACTGAGAAGTTCTCAATGACACTCTAAAACTCATTCCATGGTGTATATTATAAGTACATTATACTTCAAATATATTTAGGCTCGGTGCAGTATACAACTATTAGTTACATTTATATGTCTCAGAGACGTGTGTCCTTATCATCATGCAAAATATGGTTTGATCTACATTGTTTTGGTTAGTAAACTAGTTGCAAAGGTCAAATGTGACTAAGACCTCAGATCTGAAAGGAAATGGAAAGTTGCAGTACATTTTTGTCGGGCCGAATTACATTTCAATCATTCTTGTAGGCTTTGTGAAAGGCTTTTTGTCTGCATCGCGCACGACAGCCCAGGGGATGCTCTGGCTTTATTTCAAGGCGGTTCCCTCTCATGTCAGAAAGTCTCAATACTACTTTGCTCATTCAGGATTTGTATACTCACTTCCTGGGTTATATCTTACTAAAATTAAAGGTTACTGAAAATGTTTGGAATTTAAATTAGGTAGGGTGAAGACTTTTTCAAGTATTATTTTGGATATTATTTAATGGTCTTGTTTCTTTGGTAGTTTTAATACTCTACCATCTAACTCTAACAGTTACTCAGTCATGCATCGGTCCTTTTGGGAGAACCTCACCAATATGGTGGTCAATGTTTCAGGGCGATCAAGGATATGACGGCCCCAGGGGACCTCGTGGACCGCCCGGACTGGCCATCAAGGGGGAGAAGGTGTGGTTCCTTCAGTAAGCTCTCAGAAAGCACAAGAGCCACTTGATGTTCCTCAATCCGAAATCATACATGTCAACAACATAGATATGATGTTATTACAGATGTTCCTCATGACACAATGGATAGAATAGCATTGTATGGGATGATCTGCCGTTAAAAAAGGAGAAAATGCTGACAGGAGCTGGGGAATGAGGAGAAGCTGAGCTTCTGTTCCAGGTGTAACTGTGAACTCTCTTCTGGTCAGGGAATTATGGGCGCCTCCGGACCACCTGGAGAGATTGGACTTCCAGGTTCAGGTATTCAAGGAGAAAAGGTAAAGGCCTATCAGATATTAAAAATGACATAGTAACTTTGGTCCCTGCAGCTCTGTACTGGACAACAGCTGGACGATAAATGGATTTGTGGTTCCACAATCCATTAATCCTCCAAAAACCAAAGAGATATGTTGCATATTTAATTACCCATTGAAAATGTATGATTCCTATGATTGTGTGTCTCTGTTAGGGAGATCGAGGACAAATGGGTCCCCCTGGCCCAAGAGGGATTCCAGGTTCCGGATTTATGGGGCCAAAGGTAATTGTGACCAAACCACCTATCCATCAAAGGCATTTGGTAATTCTCACCAGTGTCCACTAGGGTGTCCTATTTTCTGCATTTACGGTCATGACTCTCAGTCTCTGTCTGCAGTCCAGCCCACATGACCCACCTGACATCACAGTTAACCAATGGAAAAACACATAGCTGACTCCGCCCACACACCACGTCATCTATTTACGAGAAAGTGCTGCTTTCCTCACAGGGTGACCAGGGGTTCCCGGGTGAGCAAGGGCCTCAAGGGGAGAGAGGAATCGGAGAGCCAGGATCCAAAGTAAGGGGGACGTGCTGAACGCTATCTGATCCTACAAGTATGTTGAATGACTGTCAGGTTGTCATGCAGGATTGTATAAAATATTTAATCGCCTTCTGGCAGGAACCAAGTAAACTGCATTTTACCTGATTCATATATTGCATCAGGGTATTTTTTGTGATGTAATAGAATCTGTGAATGTGAATCAGGGGGAACCTGGACCAGATGGACTAGCTGGGCTCCCGGGGATCCCAGGAGAAGACGGAGCGGTCGGGCCTAAGGCGAGTGGCCATGGAGCTTTCTGCAGTCGTCGGAGAGCCGTGGTTTATCATCCACGACTCTGCTGCCCAAAAAGACCTCCTGACAATGCATATTCAGGGGCTATCATCTGCTGAACGTGTATTTAAATCACCAATTCTGTACAGCCGTATAAATGTGGCCAGCCCCATTACAGTCCACACACACACACACACACACACATGTTGGTGTACCTATATAAATGGGGACCTTCCATTTATTATCTGTGGGGAAAACCCTAACCCTAACCCTAACCCCAGTCACAACATCTTTAACCCCCACCCAGTCCTTGACCTTAACCAAGCAAAATACAAGAATTTTGGCATTTTCACTTTTTTGATTGCATTCACAAATTTTTATAAAACTGAGGTCAGGCAAATGACCTGAAAATATCCCCAAAAGTGATGGAGTTCAGGTTTTGCCTCACTCTGGGGACCACACTCCTATATGAAGTCTCTTCTTTCCTTAATGTAAAAATCCTGAAAGTTTGTTTCCTGTGCACAAAAGTCATGGGAGAAGCCAAAGCCAACAGCAGTACTGTCAATGTTACTGTGATCAAACCGATCTTAGAGCCTCACTATGAATGTAATAACTGAGGGCCGAATTCACAGCAGCCGCCAATCAGAATAAATGTTGTGGCACGCTGGACCAGGACAATGGGATGTCCGCTAAATTAACATAGACTCGCAATACTTAAGAAGACCCTGCCTGTCTAATACAGAGAGAGTAGGGTTTTTTATTAATACTGTCGTCTGTTTTATTAATGAAATCAGGGGGAAACTGGGTTACCTGGAGCCAGGGGACCAGAGGGCATACTGGGAAAAGGTATTCCTGGAGAAAAGGTACCAAGTCTATATCCTTGGCTGTCTTGAAATACTGTGTCGATTCAGATTTAAGATTTAAAGTGGTCCATCTGACTACTCAGCAAGAACAGTTGCAGATAACAGAGGGGGCCACTTATATGCCGTGCTTGAAGTCATAGGACAGCCCCCCCCCCCCCCCCCAAAAAAAAGGGGTGGGGCTACTCAAGATACAAGGAAATGTGTCTGCTTCCCTTTTCCAGGGAGACCGAGGAGACCGGGGTTCCAGGGGTCTGCCTGGGGGAGCAGGCTCTGTGGGCCCAGCAGGGGCTAAGGTAACAAACAGTACATGATATGGGGGGGGTCAGACGACCAGATTACAGTCTGCCTGGCACTCATTCTGCTGAGAGTGGCATGCTGCCTTTCGTTTCAGAAGGCAAATCTTAATCGCAGCTGCAGTCCGGGGCAGAGTCGTGGACGATCGCAATAACGTTGGCTCCACGTTTCTGGTTTTAGGGAGAACCAGGAAGCGGGGGCCCGATGGGGGTTCCTGGGTTGCCGGGCCATGGCATACGGGGCTCCAAGGTGAGGCGGGGGGTCTGAAGCCTCTTGGTTACCCTGAGATTCATTCTGGGGGAATTTTCATCCATTTGTGCTGCATGGAGAACCTTCCCCAGAACTGTGGCGGTTCCATGTTAGCAAAGTGTCTGTGGACCTGAACTGATGGGGAATGGAGCCGGACCAGGGAAACGTGTCATTCGGCTACAGTAAGATGGAGCCGGACCAGGGAAACGTGTCATTCGGCTACAGTAAGATGGAGCCGGACCAGGGAAACGTGTCATTCGGGTGTAATGTACTACACAGTAAGTGAAAACATTCACCATATTTCACGTTCTCTGAACACAGCTGTTGGGTTGCAGGGGGACCCCGGTCCGCCTGGGCCTGCTGGACCAGTGGGAGAACCAGGCACTGGACTTACCGGACCAAAGGTAAACTGGGCACACCGACATGGGGGGGCACTTCAGAGTCATGGGAGGAAGCCAGCTGAGACGCCGCCATTTTGTCTGTTCCAGGGGGAAAGAGGACTGCAGGGTCCTGTGGGACTACGGGGTGTTAAAGGGGAAGGCAGCACTGGGCCCCAGGTGAGTGACAGTGTGTGTGTGCGTGTGTGTGTGTGTGCGTGTGTGTGCGTGCGCGTGTGTGTGTGTGCATCATGTGCTCTCTGGGAGACTCAGAAGTAGACATTTTAATAAAAGGTGATGCCAAACTGTCTGCTCTCAGTGCAACAAGAGTAATTCACAGACCACAGGTGTAGGAGTGTGGGAACAGCTGCAGGGATCTAGATACATCTGATAAAAACACAAAAAATAAAACAATTCCGTTGGCAACTGCTAACTCAGATACACAATTTACAGAAATATGGAGATAAATAAAAACTGCCCATTGTAGTCTGTGGGTTTATTACTATTCTTTAACTCTTCAACTTGCATGTAACTAAAAACCTGGATACTTATTTACAGGGACTGCCAGGAGTAGCAGGACCACCTGGAGAGATTGGGCCAGAGGGGAAAGGGTTCCCAGGACCTAAGGTAGAGGACTTCCCCTCTTCATGGAGCATAATGCATGCCAGTGTGGTGCCTGTACCCAACGTTCCCTGTATTTAGGGAGACAGAGGTTCCCCGGGTCTCCCTGGACCATTAGGACCCCCAGGATTCGGAGTGATTGGATCCAAGGTAGGACAGAACCACATGGGTTTCTCCTTTGCTGTAACACAGGGACGTCCCCGTGCTTTTTAATGTGTTTCACCCACCATGATACAGGTTAGCCCAGCTGAATTATAGGCCGGCTGAGTTTGAGGTGGATAGTTCAGGTTCAAAAATAAAAATTCCTGACCATGATTTTGTTTCAGCCAACCAGTTCAGTACAAAGAGTCACAGTAACAGAGAACTCTATTAGATGGTTGAAACAAAACTTTGGTCTGGACTTTTACTTTCTGGACCTGAACTATCCAGCTCTGCCTGGGTTGATGTTCTTTCTGTCTGTACATACCCAAAGTCATTTGTACAGTTGGACAGCAATGACATTGCACAACAGACAAGCCTCATTCACTCAGTCACATGATCAGTAAGGACATCAGGTACAAGTGACAGAAATACCTATTGGGCAGTGCAGCATAGAATTAAGACTCTGGTTATGCACCTCATTTGATTAACCTTATTTTGTTAAATGTGATTATTAATGTACTACTGTACATACGTGCATAAAGATTCCATTAGCACTTTAATCCTTGGTGTTAATCAGGTACGATTTAGCTTTGCATCTATCCATCCTACATAAACACGTATCCATGGAGACCATGCAAATTGCATGGGGGGGGGGGCAGGAAACGACCCCACAACCCTAGCAGTGTGAGGCCACCGTGTCACCCCCTTGAGCTTATTGCGTAAAATATTATTACATGAGATTTGCCCATCATTACGTGCTGAATCACGAGTGGCAGTGAACAAGGGGGAAGAGCTTGACCTCGGTATGCAGAGGATGTCGTTAATCGCATGGAAGGAGTGGAGTTTGTGCATCAATGATCCCCCCCCCCCATAAATACTATGTGCATGTCAACCTGTACAAGATGGCACGACTCGTAGGATGAGTGACTATTTCTGCAGGGCTCCACAGGACAGCCGGGTCCAGCCGGTCTACAAGGACCACCAGGCGAGGGCATCCAGGGAATCAAGGTAGAGTGACCCCCCCCCCGACAAATCCCTCTTTATAATATGCTAGTGAAGGCGTTGGGTTCTGGAACACCGGTCAACCTGTAACACAGAGTGACTGACTGTTGACTGTTTCATTCAATAACAAACTGGAACTCTACAGGAGCGACTGTCGCTGTTTGAGTTGACAGCACTTCTTGGGTTGTTTTTTGTGATGGTAATGAGGTTCAGAAGAGTGTTGTACTAGGCTGAGGGCTCACACTGCATAAATCGGACGTACCGAAATACAATTTAATCTGCACTGTTTCCTCAAATTTGATCATCAACCTACCCCCCGCTTGCCAATTTTTTTTCATTTTTAGAACCCTGCTCCATTCAAAAAAATGTATTGAGGGCAGTAGACCTTGTATCGCTGATGGAATTTGGAAAAATACTTGAATAACCTGGCTTAGATCATCCTGCTTTTCTGTGTAAGCGAATGTGACATTGTTCATGCGAGTCTGGGGGTTCCCCGTAGGGTGATGTTGGATTCCAGGGCACACCAGGCCCTCGTGGACCTCCGGGGACTGGTCTTCCTGGAGAAAAGGTATGAGAAGCCCGTAAGCTAATGAGCTGAATCGTGGAAAGTTGAAGATTTCATGCCAACTGGAAGGACACACATCTTGCAGGGAGACAGAGGATTTCCCGGTGAGCGAGGACACAAGGGAGAGAAGGGAAAATATGGAGAAATGGGAATCCCAGGAAAAACGGTAGGCCAAACACTGAGACTTGTAGCCACGGTAACTCAAAATCATGTGACACGTCAGGTGACCATTAAAGGACGACAGCTTTTGCCAGAGAGCTCTGTGCTGTGTAGATGACAGCAGGCCTTCTTATCTTTTCAGGGCAGATCTGGGCAGAAAGGGGATCCTGGCTTGACAGTGAGCAAATATTCACACTCTCCTTCTTACCAAATGCAAAATCACACCTTTTATTATAGATTCTGCTTTTACTCTAACTTTCAGAGAGAAGAAATCATTAAAATCATCAGGGAAATATGTGGTGAGTTTTGTATTAGTTATATTTCTGCACATAGGAATTTAACGACGATGGAATAAATTAGCGGTTTGGAAGACAGACGAATGGGTGGATGTTAGTAGCTAAATTGATGAAAGTTGCTTGAAATGCACTAAACACATCTGGGTGTGGTTTATGTCTACCCCAGTGTTTCCCAATCCGGTCCTTGGGGACTCGCAGACGGTCCAAGTTTTTGTGAGCTGGGACAGATCAAAAACGTGGCCTGTCTGCAGGTTCCCGAGGATCGGATTGGGAAACACTAGTCTACCCATTTCCTTGAATGTCTGGCCTGTATGGTGTCGATACGAGCCTTAAGTGCTTTTTGAACCTTCTTTTAGGATGTGGCATCAAATGCAGGGAGAGTCCTCTGGAGCTGGTCTTCGTGATCGACAGCTCCGAGAGCGTGGGACCCGAGAACTTCGACGTGGTGAAGGACTTTGTGAACACGGTGATTGACCGCGTGTCCGTGAGCCGGGAGGCGACCCGCATAGGAGTGGTACTCTACAGCCACATCTCCACCGTGGTGGTCAGTCTGCAGCAGCAGTCCGGCCAAGACGACGTCAAGGCCGCCGTGCGCAAGATGGCCTACCTGGGCGAGGGCACCTATACGGGCAGTGCCATCAGGCGGGCCAACCAGATCTTCCAGGCCTCCCGCCCCGGCATTCGAAAAGTTGCCATTGTGCTGACTGATGGCCAGACGGACCACCGGGATGAAGTGAAACTAGAGGACGCGGTCAGGGAGGCCCATAGTGCCAGCATCGAGATGTTTGTGATCGGTGTGGTCAAGCGCAACGACCCTCTCTACAAAGAGTTTGTCGAGGAGATGAACTCCATGGCCTCTGAACCCACCGATGAGCATGTGTACCTGATTGACGACTTCTTGACACTTTCTAGTAAGTTCTCTCTCGCTGTGTGGAGCCACCGCAGTCATTGCATATTATGCAGATACCTAATTAGTAAGGAGGAAAAGATTTTAAAGAAACTAACAAACGTCTTAGCCAACCTCGATATCACCGAACCCTGACCTCCACCCCCCTTCCCAAATTGTGTGTCACAGCCCTGGAGAGTAAACTCTTGAGTCAGATTTGTGAGAGTGAAGATGGATCCATGTTCAATCCAGTCTCTCCCAGTTTCCTTTCTCTGGGTACCTCTGACGTTCCAACCAAACCATCGGAGAGGATGGACATTGACAGTGGTAGTTACATTACAATAAGCAAACAGGTAAATACCCTATCTTTGTTAAACCTTATGGGCTGCTTAGGTTTGGCTCGCAAAGTGAATTCAGTGAAGTGTTCTTTACCAAAGGAAGAGCCTTGGTAAGTGCATCAATGCGTGTTGTGCAGCAGGTAATCGCTTGTTCTATGGTCACCTCCTCTCTTCCCAGCCAGAAGGGCCAGAAGAACAACCAACACCCCCCCTTCCCCTAGGCCCCGCATTGGACAGCTACAACATCCACTCCAACACAATTGGAAGAGCCCGGGTCAACCAAGAGAATCATACAAGCCTAACAGGAGAATCGACAAACTTGTTGGCTGGGGGGCACTCACGGTTGTACATTTCTTCCGCGGGGGGCCACAGTCCAGTGGAGCAAGAGCTCATCACAGAGGCTTCGCAGCAGCCCCCACCCCAGCCACCTCCACCCCTGGATCATCACACTTTTGTACCCGGTAATCAATGATCTTTTATCTTATGCTACTAACCACTGGCTAAAAGCCATCAGACATGGAATCATTCATAGCAAACAGTTAGTGTGCTGTGGATCTGTATTAATAGCTTGAGTATAATGAGTCACACAAATACTACTCAGGGCTCCAGGAATCCAGTTCAGACCACTGAATCATCTTGGTTTTCCCATAATGAATAATACATTCAAATTACATGGTTACCAGTACCAACGCTGATACTATATTTTAGCTTCAAAGTAAATTTCCCAAATGCTGAACAGTTGAAATCCATGCAGAAATAAAGCAAAGATTTTCACTCTTTTCAGAGGTGAGATGCAGCCAGGTTCTGGACTCTGGTCCTTGCCGGGAGTATGTGATGAAGTGGTACTATGACCATACGGCCAAAGCATGTGCGCGCTTCTGGTATGGAGGCTGCGTCGGCAACCAGAACCAATTCCAGACAGAAGCCAGCTGCAAAAAAGCCTGCGTGGGGGACACTGAACCACAGCTTCAGGAGCATCTCGCATCTACTATTGTAACTTGAAGGGTTGTTCTCTTTAAAAAGTTTACTCATGAGTGAGGGAAAAAAATATGGACCAATTGACCATCATGTTCAATGAGGAATTAATGAATACGAAGGAAGTTACCCACATCACCCATGGAGACACCATAAGATGGTGTGGAAATTGCCTTTTTGAAGTACAGTTCTCTTGGACCTCTTAAATCCTGATCAAACACCAAAGCTGTCAAACTTTTTCGATGTTTGTTAAGAAACAAGGGGATTCTAAGCCATTTTAGGAATAAGTGAGTTATCACTGTGTGTATCTGTCTACATTGCTGTGTCTAGCAAGTAGCATTTGTAATATAGTCTGTATCACCTCAAAGGTTCAAAAATGCATCTGTTATTCAGGTAATTATACTGTTTACTGTATATTGTTTCATTGTTTAAAAATACAATTATTGTGATCAATGACTAATTGTGTCAGAGGTTTGTCTGCATGATCTCAAGACACATTATACCAAAACACATATAAGCCAAATATTCCTGTAATTTTTACATTAATGCTTCCATAGACTCTATGCATCTGTTTTTTGTGTGAGTCCAGATTTACTTAAATTGGTTTTTATTTAAGTCTAAAACTACATGTACTTAAAAGTACATGGTTGGAACCATGTACTTTTATTTTGCACAATATCAACCATAAAAAAAAAAAATCAGAAAGTCGTTTTACAATTAAACCTATAATTTAAGGATATGCCGTCTTTGAGAGAATCCAATCTTTAATACAAGGACCAAGACTGACTGTCCCGTCCTTGTGCTTTTGTCCAGCATTAGCATCTGCACTGGCTCACTGTGTCACTCTCACCTCTGTGTGGCCGGAGTTCATGCCATGGATATAGCAGACTGCATATCTTTATATGGTCATTCGTTTTCATTATACAGCCAATAGGAACAAAATGCTACAGCAAAATACAACAATGGATTTTGTTAATACCAGAATAAAGGACTATAAGGCATTTGTATACCTCTGGTCATTAAGTTTTATGAAATTTATTCCACCTTATTTACGTATAGTGTGTGTACGTGGTTAGCAATTAAATTATTTAGAGACGCTTCAAAGCAATGGAAATTTGCAATAAGCGGTTTTTCAGTCTATGGTCAAAAGCCAAATGAATTATATATCAGTCTGAAGGTGAACAAAACGTATTTTAGAGATACAGCATTATAAGTATAGCTTTCTTCATTGCTAAATAACTCGTTTTTATTGGCTAAGGCTTGTTTTTTCCGTAAGTGTGTGTATGTTGTTACCGTTTATTGTGCACGGTACAGTATTTGCTATTATAAGAATTGCAACCGTTATATCATCAGGATGTGTTTTAATAATGACAATCCGTCACTGAATTTTAAATCCTGTGCAGTTGGATGTACAGTGTACGCTGTGTAATATGGGGGTAGTGTAGATGTAATACTCTTATTTGCTGCTAGGGGGCAGTATGACTTCACCCACACTCAACATACAGCCAAAATATCTATGGTGCTCAATGGACTGCAAAGTGTCCTGGGTTAAGGGAAGGGTAAGTTCGGTGACTTATTTTACTGTTTAAACTTGATCGTTCAGTCATGTCAATCAGAAAGCTTTAAACTTCCGTTTAAATATGTTTTTGTCGTATTTACTGCTATTTATATGGCTTATATGCTTACATGTTTTCACTAGCGGTGTCTGTGCAGTGATATTTCGGGAGTGCAAATTACTTCCACCGTTCCCTGCCTGAACCCGGTGGCAGCACCGTAGGTGAGCTAAGAGCTCTTTATTATGAAGAAATGCGGTGTGATGTCTAAGTGTAGCTCCTTGTCAACATGCCGGTTCTCCTCCCTCCAATGGTACTTTGCAGGCCGGATCGTCGCACGCGTTTGAAGTGTCCTTATGGCAGGTCCGAGCCACGTTTTAAAGGTCCGATCCTTATACAAGCGGATACTCCTACTGCACCGTTTCATGCCCCTGGACCTGCGGGCTCTCGGGGACCAGTACGTAAAGGACGAGTTTAGGAGGCACAAGGCGGCGAGGCCCCAGGAGGTCACAAGCTTTATGCGGGAGTGGGAGGTAAGCCTGACCGCGTGACCATATTCATACAAATCTACTGGCTTCCAGTAACGCTAAAGGCTGATTTTAAACGTATCGAAAAAGGAGACAGCCTCACTAAACAAGGGACTTATGAAAACCCAGGGGACGACATGCAATATAACAAAATTACAGTCGATCATGTGGCAGAACTTAGACGTGATAAATTTAAATGATATAAAAACGGTTACCGTAGATAGCTAGATAAATAGATGTACTTTCATGATCTGACTGGGAAGTTCTTTTGTTAAAAAGAAAGTTAATTTCTTCACTATTTGACCTTGTTTAGCTATTTCCAAATGGTGGATGACAGCAGTGGAAGTATGAGCCCAAAACAGCATGTCATGAGTTCCTAAGAGAACAGAGAAGCGTTTCCAGACTTTCAGGTGCATTTGGTTACAAAAAAAAACACAAAATTGTTTCACATATCCAGGGGAATTGTCTCAAAAATCAATGAATCAGAATATCTTTGTCATTGTAATATGTACCACGAAATTAGGTGCAGTCCTTGCGGCCTCAAAGAATTATACAATAAATTATATTAAAAACATACTGCACGAGACATATTGACTTCAAGACTTTTTATTGTCATTGTACAGTTGCCTGGACAACGAAATTAGCTAGCAAGACCACAAAGATGCAAGAAAGTGTCAGTACAAGATACAAGAATAAGAAACACAGTATATACAATGTATAAAGACATTGGGGGGTATATGCAAGGGTGTCATAAATATAATAAATAAGGGGGGAGGGCTTTTGTCTTAGATAAGTGACACTATTGGGTAGGTTGGTAATTGCACATTTGCCAAGATATTGCACAGAGCCAAAGTCAGTAGCAGCAGTGAATATGGAGTATGGACGAAAACTACACAAACACGTGCACACGCACACACCCACACCCATACACACATACATACTTATGGACACCATAAGCTTAAAAAGATTTTTATTGCACATAAAAGACATATTGCACGCGATTGTATCTATTGCACTCAAGTTGTATGAAGGTGATTAGTTGTCATTCAGCGCCCTCATAGCGACAGGGTAGAAACTATTGTTCAGTCTGTTAGTCCTTGTTTTGATGCTCCTGTATCTTTTGCCTGATGGCAGCAGTTGGAATAAGTCATGAGCGGGATGTGAGGAGGCTTTTAGGATGTTTTCCGCTTTTCTGAGACAGCGAGAGCTGTGCAGTTCATCCAGAGAGGGTAAAGGGCAGCCGATGATCTCCTGGTCAGTCTTTATAATCCACTGGAGTGATTTCCTCTACACTGTTGTGCAGCTGGAAAACCACACACACAAACAGCAGCATAGGATGCTCTCAATGGAACAGCAATAGGATGACACCAGCAGTTTTTGGGGGATGATATTTTTCTGACACTCTCTGCACACAGTCCCCTCTGATTTAAAGTGGTTTAATGTCAGTTTTCCTTTTCCTGAAATCCACCACGATCTCCTTGGTCTTAATTGTGTTATCAGTGCACCACGCTGGCAGCCGTTCCACTTAGTCTCTGTAGATCTTTGCCAAATATGGACAAACTGCTAAGAGGAACGGTGACACAAGTCTAAGCTTTCCAGCAGGAATAGGTGGTCACTTCCCAGCAGGAATAGGTGGTCACTACAGTGACCTGCACAGCCAAACCGGGGGGATATTCATGATTGGGGAGGGGGGGCATTTTCATTCATTCAATGTTTGCTGAGCACCACATAAATACAGCCTTAAAATTGCTATAGAAGCTGTGACCCAATGCTGTACATCAAACACATTGCTTGGGCTTCAAAAAGATGCGATTTCTGGCAAAGCTGCCATTCAGAATCCGCTTGTGTCCAAGGCTAATGGACAAAGAGAGAACCTGGAAGGTAATATGGTCTCTGAGTCATTGTCACACTTTTTTATTCATCCAGAGGTGATTTACGATTGGAAAGATGAAAAATGCCTACATCCCACAATTTCTGCCCGTATGGGTAGCAGTCCATTGGGAGACATTAGTTATGATGACCACTCTGCAAGTTGCGTAAAGCAGCCAAGAGTTTGTGGCCATTTACAGGAGCCTGCAGAGCAGCAGCTGCTCCCTCGCGACGTTCCCGTGCTATAAGATAAAACCTCCAACACCCTGTTAAACAAGGGTGGTGTCATGAGGACCAAGCTGAGGTCAGACACCTTACCCGGGCTTTGCCAGGCACTGGCTCTGAACAACAATGAGCCTTTTTGGGAAGTAGTATAGCCCTGAAATAGATTTCCACCCCTTCAAGCTTCAGAGACGGAGTATCCCCAACTATACACAGTTTAGGACTTGCATAACAGCAAGGACTGAAGCAAACGGCTGGTTCTGCATCTTAAGTCCTTGATATTAATATATTGTTAGGCGTTTCTGTTGTGTTGTCCACCCCAAGTACGCATCTACTCAGAGCTGGAGTGGGATTAAAAATCAGCCCTGGACAGGCCCCCCACACATACATACCCATGATTAATTTTGCCAGTCAGGAGGGGAGGTCCTGAATTTTGCTGGCCCACAACCCCTTTGTCCGGTGTGCCAGATGGCCAGTCCAGGCCTAGGTGTTACATCTAGGTGTTGTCGATAAGAAATAAGGAAACGGATGTATTCTTGTTTTTGGTCACTTGGTGGCAGTATTTAGAGCATTAATGTTTTATAATGTTGTTCTTCCAGATAAACGAACACGTTAATACGTTAAATACTGTGCAACGCAAGATGTCCTCAATTTTGAGTGAAAATGCTCGGTTATTTTCATATAACTTGAACACATTTAAACAATACATTTGTTATACTATGAAAATGGTGCTGAACTATTTGCATTTAAAAATCATGCATGCTGCCCCTTCTTAGGGCCTGCAAGTAACGTTTAAAATCACTTGTGTTTGACTGCAAGTCATGGTATCCTAGTGAGGTTGTAATATATCCCCCGGTCACCAAATCTCATTTAACCACCAAAACGCTCCGATAAACTGTGTGAATAGTGGTCACACACAGACAGCCCATAATAAGATGCCTCATAATAATATAAACCCCTGAAGGGCACTGTAGGGCACTTCAGAGAAATACATAATTTATTGGATTTCTAATTGGAGCTAGAGCAAGTGTTTCTTGTCAATAAGCGCTTGGAAATTAAATCGTAATACAAGTTTCTGAAAATTCTATAAAAAAAAAACCCAAATGGACCCATACAAAGCCACCTGAAAAACACCAAGAATTAAAACAAACCCTGTTTTTGTAGCAAAAATCCGTTTTGGTAGCAAAAACCTGTTCCGGGAGCAAAAACCTGTTCTGGGAGCAAGCCTCAAGTAGCTGCGTGGTGCGTTCCACAGCATAACCTGGCCATTCTTGGATTGGTTTGTGGAGAGATTATTAAAACATGGGGGCCCTGTGCACCCCCATACCGTGGTGTGTGGGTGTGGGTGGGTGAGTTTCTCCCCATGTTCCAGTGGGTTTTCTCCTGCGGGCTGAAAATATGCAGTAAGAAGAAACGGAGTCTCTAAATCATCCACAGTGATAGCGTGTGTAGCCAGCAGTGTGCAGACATCCCACACAAGGGCACCCTGCAGTGCGCAGACATCCCACGCAATAGTACCCTGCAGTGCGCAGACATCCCACGCAAGGGCACCCTGCAGTGCGCAGACATCCCACGCAAGGGCACCCTGCAGTGTGCAAACATTCCATACCCCAGGTTCCCCCCAGCCCCGTGCCTGCCGGGGTATGCCTCGGGTTCCCCCCAGCCCCGTGTCAGCTGGGGTATGCCCCGGGATTCCCACAGCCTGTAACGGAGAATCACTTAGGACAAAGTGTTTACCTGTGGCTGACTGATGAACCATATCACTGGAAATTGTTCTTCATTAGAAGTCATGAAGAATGCTGCCATTCCACCTGAAGCCAAATAATCTAATGAAAGAACAGCTCATTACGTCTCTCTGCCATGCGGTTAAATCCTCTCTCGTCGTGGCACCTCACATATTCACAAGTTCATGTTTTGAGAAGCCATCAGTTATTTTTCCATAATAACTTGCCGTTTTCAGGGACCCAGATTCATTTAGCAAATGGATGCAGATTAAATTGCTGAATTTTATCTCAGACGTAGCAAAACTAACTCTTCATTGATTTATTAAATGGTTTCTGCTGATTCCAAGTCTAGCCACTTTCTTACAGTTATTCAAACAATTGTGTATTTCGGAAAGACAGGGATGGTTTTATATTATGATATTTAATAAATATATGTAAAGGGAATGAGGCACTGAATTCTCAGTGCTGACCTCAAATCAAATATTCCTCCAGGACCAAGTGCACAAACAGCCGAAATATTCATACAGAACTTCATGTTTTACACACAGGGAGGTAGTGAATTACTCCATGTTGAATTTTCATTGGCCCCTGAGTTGCAGGAGGACAACATAACCAGGAAGAGGCAGACAGATCTGCCCCTAAATATGATTACAAGCTTCAAATGCTCACCCTAATCCAGTTACACCTGGGTGGGTGGATTGCAGGGGGGGGGGAGGGAGGGGAATCCTCTCTCCTTAATAAAATCAGCTGTATGGAAATGAAACCGCGTTTTGCTGAAATGCCCCCGGGGGCAGCATGGTGATGTGGCTGGAGGCTGGGAGACCTTCAGCATAATGGCTTTGCGTTTCCAGTCCCCGTGGGGCTCCTGGGATTCTGTGAGGGAGACCAAACGTGGACACCTGCCAATCTGAAGCATGCGGGGTGAGGCGTGTGATCATCAAATCCACAGCTTCTTCACTGTGGCCTCCTTAGCCGCACAATGAAACCTTTCATCAGATCGAATTTCACACATTTAGCCACCGACTGCGATCCTTACGTTACATCAGCAAGCCACAGTTTTTCTGCACATTTAAAAAACTACACACATGTACCAATCGCACCGCTTCTTAAATGTACCCTCATCGTGTACGGTAGCACCCTACCGTTGACATAAGTTGCAGAAATGCGTAAACCCCCCCAACGACGTTTAGAGCTAATGGGATTACAGGTCCACAAAATGCCTGTCACTGGCAGTTTGTGGCATCTGAAATGGAATTGGTTCTGAGTACTCTGTGAATGAATGAATCTCCAGGTTCCCATATGAATACAAATTAAACTCCACCAAACTACTCAACGGTATACTCTGACTGGAGGGGGTCTGGAGGGCGTGCACAATTCAAGAAACCTAAAAATCTGGAAAACACACAACTGCAGTGATGATTGCAGTGTGTCCTGACTTGCCAGTGCGAAGTACTTCCCACTGTGGGTGACAGTATAAATAAGTCATCAATAAAACAATTAGTCTCCCTGTCATGCAGTAATTCACAGAATATTTTTTTTTTAGAGATGTAGCAGGGATAACGTTGAATTCAGTATTGCTCTGGAGTGAGATTCAGATCTCTACATTTGTATCATTATATACAATGACCCCCCCCCCCCAAGCACACACAGAGCCAGGCTGTTTGTAACTGTACTGTGGCCTGAAGCTGCAGTGCCTGCTGGGAAATGTGGGTCAGTTTGGGGTCGCCGCCTCCATTATCTGCAATTAAGGCTCCCGATCCTGCTGCAGCTGTTCCCAGCTCCCAGTGATCCGGCCAATTCCACCACACTCCGCTAAAAGCTGCAGTCGGCTTGCGATTTCGCGTTGTTCTTAAATTAAATTCGTCTTGACATGTGGTGGTTTCACCGGTTTCCAATTGTGGGGGCGATGTTGTGCTATTAGCTTATCGACGGGAGCGGTCAATATACCGTGATGATCCCACCGTTCCATACTCCTGATAGTTGTGCCAGTTCACCGTCATTGGGGTGGTTTACCTGTGTCCTGGGCCGGTGACGTGACAGGGTTTCCTTATGCCTCTCTCCTTCCCCTCTGACTCTCTGTCCGCACAGAACTACAAGGACGGCCTGCAGTCTCAGGTCCTGGAATCAGCCGGGAGGGAGGCGAACGTCGGCAAGTACGGGGCGGACCTGTCAGCGGAGCAGCTCTCGCAGCTTCAGGACCAGCAGATTGGACAGCTCTACGAACTCATGCTGGAGTCCACCAAGTCCAATCGCCAGTTCAGCATCCAGGGGGACAGTTTGAATAAGTAGGGTGGGGGGGGGGGTCAGGGGGGGGGGGGGTGGTTGAAGTCAGTCCCTGTGATTCATCCCCACGGCTACCGCTCTTCGTCAGAGACACGCCCAGCTGAGAAGCCGCTGTGGAGCCACTCTCAAGAGCAGGCAGTTAAGCTGCTGTAATCACATTAGAGGAGGTAGGCCGAAGGAACGGCATCGTCTGCGGCATCGGCCAGTTTCTTTTTGCCCATTTAAGATGGGGGGGGGCAATAGAGACACAGAGGTCAATTCGTACATTAAGGTGTCCTTGTGAGGGTAAGAAACAGCAACTTTTCACATTTGGCTCCTCATGTTGCACGACTAGCTTGGGGGGGCAGTAGGAGGGATGCTCGAACCCAGACGTTGCCGTGTCTCGGTTGACGGGACCGTGCCCTGGGAATAAGATGGAGCAATAAGCAGTCTAACAGAAGCAATCCAGTCGGAGATGTTTGAGCAGGATCATGTGACCAGTGAGCAGTGCTGTGCAAGTCTAAGGCAGCCAAAGAAAATGCTGTTTAAATTATCTTGCTGTGATATTATGGCTGTTAAAATGTATCGGCTTAGCTATTAAAAACCCTTCTGAAATAATGCCAGTATTCCCAGGAACCCTCCACTGTACCCATGTGGAGTTTGGCTTGACCAGTAGCACCTTATTTGACTAATCAGTACTTCATCAAGTTATTTAATTAACTTAAGTGAGCTGGTGGTGAAATGTGATAAATGCATGGAATGGCTGAGGTGCCCCTGAGGAGAAGTTTGGGAACTGAAGCCGTGTCCATCTAGTCACCCAGTAAGATACCAGTTTGGGAACTGAAGCCGTGTCCATCTAGTCACCCAGTAAGATACCAGTTTGGGAACTGAAGCCGTGTCCATCTAGTCACCCAGTAAGATACCAGTTTGG